TTTTTTTTTTTTTTTTTTTTGGCATGAGAGGAGAATGTTGAAGAGAAGTCAAGAAAAGTATTTCCTAGTAGAAAATTTACAGACCACATTACTCTTAGAATAAGAAAACTAAAGCATGTTACAAACATCTACCTAAAAAACATTTGTGCCTCATAGAGTGTTTATCTTTATACCTAATTTGTGAATCTTAGAATAAAGATTTTTAGATGATTTGGCAAGATTTTAAGCCAATTATTCTTCTGAAGTTTTTTTGGTTCCTGTCTCCCAGAAGGAATCTATTGACAATATACATGCTACAAATCTCTCATATAATATAGTTATAATTCTTGAGAATATAATTGATTCCTACACTACCCTGCTTCTCAGTTTATAGTCTGTACTATTAAGAAAAATCCCAAGACCATACTGTGAAAGTCATCACTGCATGATTCATCCCTTTGGGTTGGCAGATCACGGTGGATGAGAAGGACATCAGAGCCCTAAATGTGCGACATTATCGAGAAAATATCGGAGTGGTCAGCCAAGAGCCTGTTTTATTTGGGACAACCATTAGTAACAACATTAAACTTGGGCGAGATGGTGTAACTGAGGAAGAGATTGAGAAAGCAGCAAAGGAAGCACATGCTTATGATTTTATCATGGAGTTTCCCAATGTAAGTACAGCATGCACATATCCTTAGCCTGAAGCTAAAGCACTGCAATAGTCCAAAATAAGATAATTTAAAAATACCATCTACAGAATACTGATAGTGTGATTAATTTTTGTATTGTGGTAGGTGAAACATCCATAAATGAGAGACCATGGTAACAACCAAAACATGAAATGCATTTTTGAATGGTCAATTAAAACACATACACACATACAAATCATGTTTAGTTTTTACTGGTTCTCATGGCAAATGGAAAAGTGAAACAAAAAATGACTATGTTAAAGTATAGCAAAGAAATATGAGACAAAACCGCCTAAGATGAGAAAGCATGTGTTTGCAAAATGTTGACTTGTGAGCCCATCTTGTGGCTAAGTTTGGAAATGCCACACAATGTTCAGATTAGTCTGTGATCAGGAAGAAGGAAATCTATGATAATTTTAAAAATTATGTGAAATTGATAATGAACATGAAATGTAAATCATATTTGGAAAGAGGTATAATAAACTAAAGTCCTGATGAGTATTCAGAATTTATAGAGGGTTGTAAAAACATTCAGTTGTATTTCCCAAAATATTATTTTATCAGTATGACTTGAAATTGTTGTGGGAACACAACCTGTGAAATAGGAAAGGGAGAGATTTAAAAGTAAAACACTGATAAAATCCCATCATCCCAGAAGGATACACTAATGAAAAATATCCATCTTAATGGACATATATTGCAAACCACACTCCACTGGTCTTCCTACCCACCCCATCCCCCTCCAGGGATCATTATTTTATTTTATTTATTTATTTTGCTGTGAGTTGGGTGAAAGCTTACAGAGAAAGTTCATTTTCCATTCAACAGTCCATGCACATTTTGTTTCAAGACATTGACTGTAATCCCTGTAATGTAGCAACTCTCTTCCACTTTTCCCTATAATTACCTTTTCCCTGTGTCCTTTCCTATGCATTCCTGCCCTCTGAGCTATCTCCTGTGCAAATTCTACCTTTCTGATCTCTCATGATTGATTGTTCTAAGGACTACACCTATCTGGTATAATTGTTCACCTTGTAGGCCTGTTTGCTGTTTGGCTGGAAGCCACAAGAGTGAGTTCAATTCCAGGCCAGAAGGGTGACTACAGGCTATAGTTTCAGGGGTTTCACTAGTATCTATCATACCAGTAAGCCTGGTCTTTTTTTTTTTTTACTATTTTTTTAGTTTTTTCTCACATTTTTCTCTTATTCAATCCAGGATCTCCTATTTTGATCCCTTTCCAAGTGACTGACACACACTCCATTGGTCTATTAAGACCAATGTTCTATTGTTCTTGTTTTTGTTTTTGTTTTATAAAAGCTTTTGCTATATCTATAATTATTTATTGGGAGCTCTGGTGGTGTAGTGCCTATGACATTTGACTGTTAACTAGAGAGCTAGCAGTTCAAACCCACCAACCTTTCCTGGGAAGGAAGGTTAGGCAATCTACTTTCGTAGTAATACTGCCTCGAAAACCCAAGGAAGGGTCACTATAAGTAGGATCCAACTAGAAGGCAGCGAGTTTTTTAGTATAATTATTTATTGCCCCCATTATTTAAGATCATAAGAAGGATATTGTGTTGTTGTTGTTATTGTTGTTGTTGCTGGGAGCTCTGGTAGCATAGTGCCTAAGGCACTTCACTGCTAACCAGAAGGCTGGAGGTTCAAACCCACCAGCCACTCCTCAGAAGGAAGATGAGGCAATCTACTTCCATAGTGATACTGCCTCAGAAACCCAAGGAGGGGTCGCTATGAGTCGGGTCCGACTCGACGGCACATAACAACAACAACAACATTGTTGTTGCTAGGTGTGGTCAAGTTGGCTCTTATTCATAGTGACCCTGTGCACAACAGACCAAAACATCACCCAGTCCTGTGCCATTCCTGCAATTACTCCCATGCTTGAACCCATTGTTGCAACCTCTGTGTCAATCTGCCTCTGAGGGTCTTCCTTTTTCACTGACCCTGTACTTTACCTAGCATGATGGCCAGGGATTTATTCCTCCTAAGAACATGGTCTAGGAGCTCTGTCTTAGGAGTAGTGTCTAAGGTACTTGACTGATAACCAGAAGACTGGCGGTTCAAACCCACCAGCCACTCCTCAGAAGGAAGGTTGGGCAATCTACTTCCGTAGTAATACTGCCATGGAAGCCCAAGGAGGGGTCACTATGAGTCGAGTCTGACTTGATGGCACATAACCACAACAAACAATAACATGGTTAACTCATGTGAGACAAAGCCTCACCATCCTCACATCTAAGGGCCATTCCAGCTGTATTTTGCCAAGACAGGATGTTCATGTTTCTGATATTCCAAGGTGTATTAAATATTCTTCACACACTCTATAATTCAAAGGCATCAATTCTTTGGTCTTCCTTATTCATTGTCCAAATATTGCATGCATATAAGGTGATTGAAGATGCCGTGGCTTGGGTCAGATGCACCTTAGTCCTCAAAGTGACATCTTTGCTTTTCAACACTTTAAAGAGATGTTTTGCAGCAGATTTGCTCAATGCAATGCATTGTTGATTTCTTGACTGCTGCTTCCATGAGCATTGATTGTGGATCCAAGTAAAATGAAATTTCTGACACCCTCAATCTTTTCTCCATTTATCATGATGTTGCTTATTGGTCCAGTTGTGAGGATTTTTGTTTTCCTCATGTTGAGGTGTAATCTATACTGAAATCGGTAGTCTTTGATTCATCAGTAAATGCTTCAAATCCTCTTCACTTTCAGCAAGCAAAGTTATGTCCTCTCCATATTGCAGGTCTTTAATGAATCATCCTCCAATCTTGATGCTATGTTCTTCATATAATCCAGCTTCTTGGAGGATTTGCTCAGCATTATTGTTGTTGTTATATGCCTTTGAGTCGCACTCG